AAAAACACCATTGGAAATTTCATACTTCCCAGTTTCAAACCTTATTACAAAGCTACAGTAATAAAAATGTGTATTGGCATAAAGAGACCATTTAGACCGATGGGGTAGAACAGAGGCCAGAGATAAACCTTCACTGAGACCGTCAAAGGAGTTTTCAACAAATAGTGTTGGGAAAATCAGATATCCGGCAAGAAAGAGTGAAATTAGCCCATACCGTATGCAAAAATTAACTCAAAGTGGATCAAAGACCTAAACGCCTGAGCTAAAATTCTTAGAAGAAAACACAGGGCAAAAGCTTCATGCCATTGGATTTGACAAGGATTTCTTGGATATGACACCAAAGGCAGAGGCAACGAAAGGAAAAAAACCGACCAATGCAACTGTATCAAGGGCACCATCGGAGTGAACAGGCAAGTGGATGGGAGGAAACGCCGCAAACCATGCATCCTGGGGCGGGGGGTGTTAGCTAGAAGATATTAAGAAAAAACTCCAACAATGCAACTACCACAGAAACCAAACCAACCCGGTTCACAACGGCCCAAAGGACTTCAAGACACGGGTCTCCAAAAATAAATGAATAAACGGCCAGGAAGCCATGGGAAGATGCTCGGCATTACTTCCTCTTACAGGACTACAATTAGAAGCCCACTGGGGGGGGGCAATAATCAAAACAGGAAATAACGAGAATTAGTAAGGGGGTGGTGGAGAAAGTGCAACACTCGTGACCTGGTGGCTGGAACATAAGATAGCAGGACCACTAGGGAAATTAGTGTGGCCATTTGGAAAGAATTTAAAAATAGAATTACCATGTGAGCCAGCAATTTTACTTATATATGGGGGGGGAGGGGGAGAGGAAGGGGAGGAAAGGGGTGGGGGAGGAAAAAGGGGAGGAAAAAGGAGGAAGGGAAGGGAGGGAGGGTCTCATACACACTTGTAGCAGCGTTACCCACTGTTACGGCTTGTGTCTAGACGCCCCCTACAGCCTCATGAGGTCGGAGGCAGGGCTTTCAGAGGTGGCTGGATCTAGCGTGTGTGATGACTAATCAGACTGGTTTGGTGCCATCTTAATCCCAGCCGTCTGGATGAGACCTAAGGGGCACAAAGACACTGTGAAGCTCCCCTGTTGCTTTTACTGTCTTCTGCCACCGTGAACGGTTACCCCCTGCCTTGGAGTCAGCCAATTATGGACTGAAACCTCTACAAACTGTGAGCTAAATAAACCCTTCCTCCTTTAACTGTGGGTGTCAGGTATTTTGTCACAGCAACAAGAAAAGTAACTAAGACACCTGCAGTAGCCAAAAGGTGGGAGCAACCCACATGTCCATGAAGGGATGAACACAAACAAATTGTGGGTTAGGGTTAGCGATGGAGTATTACTCAGCACGAAAACAGTTCTAACACATGCTACCATAAGGATGAACTTGAGGACTTCTGCTCAGGGGACAAGAGCACAAATACCATATGATTCCATGCACTTGAGGTACTCGGAGTCAGACTCAGGTGGCCCCCAGCCCTGGGGGAGACAGAAATAGGTTGCTTGATGGGTCCAGATCTCCAGTGTTGTGAGACACAGAGTTCTAGAGACCGGCTGATGGCAACGATGAATGCGTGTCACACCGCAGCGCTGTGTACTGAGACATGGTGAAGATGCTAAATTTTATGTTACTTGTATTTTACTACAATTAAACATTTATTTAAAAGAAATTGATATGTAAGCTAGGCTCCCAATTCTCCATTTTTTGGCCACTGAATAAACTTGTGCTGTTGGCAAAAAATTAATTAAAAGTATATTTACTGAGCACCTGTTCTATGCTAGGCAGGGTGATGCGATTAGCACTGAGCTAATTCTAAACAGAGGCTCGTAAAGAAACGGACAGTAAACACCCCAGGGGTGCACAGCCTGGGTTTATCAGATTGTCTTGGTTACTTTTTTCTTGCTGCTGGGACAAAATACCTGACGCCCAAAATTAAGGAAGGAAAGGTTTATTTCTGCTTACAGTTTGTGGAGGTTTCAGTCTGTACTTGGCAGATTACAAGGCAGAGTGGCACATGGCAAAGAGCTACAGCTCAGGGCGGCAGAACACAGCTAAACTGCAAGCACACACCAGGGTGGAATGGGGGAGGAATGTCCTCAAGCACTCTTTTCCTCTCCCTTACATATATATGCAAACTATCCACCGCAGGGCGGGTGTAGCTCTCACACCCACAATCATTTAACTCTAATAGCCTGCCCCATGGTCGCATGAGGCTTTGGAGGGGACACACAGACATAAAACATAACACAGACACAGATGGTAGACTCTGGCAGAGAACTGGAAATTATTCCAAATGAAACAGATCTGATAAAAACCCAAAGTAGAGCCATGCATCATGGTAAACACCTATAATCCCAGCACTTGGAAGGCCAAGGCAGGTGGATTGCTGCATGTTCAAGGCCAGCCTGAACTACATAGTAAGAGCCTGTCTCAAAAAACAAAACAAACAAACAAAAATAGATAACATGTTGGGTATGGAGGAACATGCCTATAATCCCAGCTACTTCAGAGGCTGAGGCAGGAAAATTGCAAGTTCAAGGCCAGTCTCAAAGTAAAACAGGGCTGGGATGGACCTAGTGTTAGAGTGCTTGTCTAGCATGTGCAAGGCCCAGGTTCAATCTCAAATACTCCCCCTAAAAAAAGATGTCAGGAAACATGTTTAATAAAATTCCCTAATGCCTAAATTTTAAACAGTTCTGTTATCAAATAAGGGCTTGGAACCTCTGTAAACTGGTAACCTGGGGTGCTGGTGTGTGCATACCCTTGAATGTCACCCTAGACGGTGAGACATTAAAATCAGGAACGAGACACAGATGTCCATGTCACTGCAGCCACAGTGTGTTGAATTGCTGACCCCATCTATGCACTACGGCCAAAAAGAGAGCTAAGGTACAGAAGACTGCCCAGGAAAAACCCACAGAACTCCCCTGATGGTGGTGAGAGTGTAAGAGGGTCTGCAGAGGGTCTCTGCTTTCTGGAAGCCTGAGATGCTGGGGGCAGGGCTGGCTTTTTCTTTTTCTTTTTTTAAATTTTATTTTAAAGAGTAAAAGAAGGATAACAAGGGGCTGGGGATTTAGCTCAGCGGCAAAGTGCCTGCCTGGCAAGTGCAAGGTCATGAGTTCAGTTCCTGGTACCGGAGAAAAACCAAAAAAAAAAAAACAAAGTTTAAAGAAGGATAACAATAATGAGGGGGCTTACCAAATTACAGACAAAGTGGTAGGAAATTATCAATGGTTATTGTTTTACATATTGTTATCTACAAGATAGTTTCTCAGGAAAACAAATAGACAAATAATAGTGAGTTACAGACAAAAGAGGTAGGAGATTATCAATAGTTGTTGTACTCTACTTAGGTATCTTCGAAAGAAAATAAATAGAACTATACATGAGTAACCTATTGAATAATCATTAACTATTCTCAATGGTTGTTGTAGGAAACATATAATAATAAACCCGCATCCATTTATGAAATAGGATAGGAACAATACAAACATTAGTTATGGATAGATTAGTAGGAAAATATCAATGACTGCTGTAATACATGGTGGTATCTTCAAAGTGGTTTCTCAGGAAAACAGAGATACACAAGAAGGATCTAACAAGTAGCTACAGCCTAAGGGTTGTCAAAAATCAAGTGAGCCGTTTGGGGCCAAAGCCATTTTTTGTAGCGTTTTTCTCTCCAGCCTCCCATCGCATTGGGACTCCACAACCAGTTAGCGTCCTCTCCCCAGCTGTCAGCACAGGCAGCAGGAATCCTGTTGCAGACTTCTCCGGTGCTCCACCACAGCCTGTACTGTCAGGGGAAGAATGGCTTCCAGGGAGTCTCTGCAGGTATTGTGCAAGGTCCTCCTGGTTTACAGCTTCCGAGCGGCTCTCATGACCCCAGTGCACAGGACCTCTGACCCCTCAGGCTTAGTCTGCATTCTCATGTTCTCTGAGTCCTTGTTCAGCAGCTGGTCCTCTGCTGACTCTAGACCTTTCTGGTTCTCAATGGCAGGAGCAAGAGTGGCCCGTTGTATAGCATGTATTCCCAGGGGTTTTTCCATGTTTGAATGATTCACACATGTCCTGGGCATCTGCAGCCGGTGCATGGTGGGCCAGTTGTGTCATTGTTTCTCTGTGTCATGATAGTTCTCAATTGAGCAGCGGTAGCTGGCCTGAAGGCCGGCGCGCAACAGCGCTCGTGGCCGCATGGCTCCCAGTGCGCCTGGGGCCCTCCCTCCGGGGGCCTACGAGGCAGGAAGTGAGCCAGCCGGAAGACAGGCACTCCCCGCCCGTGATTTCCCGTTCGCTGGAGGCCCTCCCTCAGGGCAGGCTTTTTCTAAAAGTGGCAAGGAGCTGGGCATGATGGCACATGCCTGTAACCCTAGTACTCAGGAGGCTGAGGCAGGAGGGTTGTCCCATGTTCGAGACTAGCTTGGGCTACACAGTAAGGCTAGCTTGAACTACATTGTGAGACCTTGTCTCAAAAATCAAAACAACACAACAACAAAAAAACTCAAAACAAATGAAAGTGGAGAGGAATAATTTGGAGGTCACAGATGTTCTGGAACCGCCCAAATATCTGCACTGCTGTCCTGACTGGGCGCCTCCTGTACTTGAGGATTTAGCCCGGTAACATCCCGGGATTTCCTTCCTCCCCACCTTGGGAGGGGTGCCCTTTGTGCTCCTAGGGAGCTGAGGCCCAGCTGCCCCTCTGCTGGGAGCTGTCTTGGTCTTTGCTGTCTCCCAGTGCCCACAGCTGCTTGTTCAGTGTTCGGTGTCCCAGAGGGCTGGGCCTGGTGCCTCCCTGACCTCTAGGTGCAGAGAGCCCTCCAGCTAGGTCTGCAGTACTTACCCAACGCGCAGGGGGTAGGCAGGGGCGGGCGGGAGCTGTCCTTCTATGAGGGCCCGGCAGGATTCCAGGAGACAGCGGGTTCTGTCGTCTGGGCCCCTGGCACAGCCCTCCTTCTCTTTTCCTTACAGTCTGAGGTTTGTCTGAGCCAACAGCAAGCTGCCACAGATTTCAGCGCCTTCACCTTCCACCTGGATCCCGGCTGTGCAACAAGGTCAAGGCTCTTGGCTGGGACAGAGCAGTTGGCGGGAAATGCAGAGGACCCTAAGCAGAACTGCATGCAATCTGGACACAGGAAAGGAGAGCTGAGGGCTCTGCCTGCCGCCCCCAGCCCCCGTGCTCCCCACTAGCTTGGATGATGCCCATCTTCCCTAGGGGGCAGCTGCCCAGGGGTCCGACCTCTGCACAGGAGGCCTCCCTGCGCCTGCCAAGATCCGTACACTCATTCAACAGCAATTTCCGCAGCCGAGCCTTGGGCTGGCCACCCTGGGTAGACACAAAGCAGGGCTCTCCCCGCTGCTTGGCACTGGCTTCCCCTGCCCGCTCCAGGGCCCTGTAAACCCCGAGTTCCCTTGAGGGGAACCCATGGTCTTAGACCCTTCCATCAGAAGCCTAGAAGTAAATGCTTTGGGGCTGGGAGAGCCCTCTTTTCAAGGGGACTTGGCTACCTGGGTGTGTTCCAAGTTTTCCACTTTCTTTTCAGGAGCAGGCTTTTCTATGGAGTTTTCAACTGAGAAATAAAACTGGCAGAATCCAAAGGTGTGTGGGCTGGCTTGCTGGGGCTGACTGCAAGCAAGGGAAGGGGATAGTGGGTGGCTGTGAAAGCTATCCACCAGTAGAGGGTGCCCCCGAGCCCTCTCTACTGTACGTGGAGCCTTTATTTCTTTTGGTAAATGATGTCTCTGAGCTGCATTGCCAGGCCTGTACCAAGCCTTTGACTGGAGCTGCTAAGGTCCGGATTCCAGTGCAAAGTGCAAACTGCACAAAGGGCAGATGCGAGAAGCACTTGTGCCTGGCCTCCCACACATCAATCACAGCGGGTGCTGGGTGGCCCGGGAAGAGGAGGCCACGCGTGCTGCACATTGCCATACCCTCGGGGGAGCGGTGGGCTGCGCTGCTGTCACCTGCCTTGTCCTCAGCTCCAGCCCAAAGACTCCAGATCCAGCAACTGCTCCGGGTGCTCTGCGGATGCCCAACCTTTTCTTAGACCTTCTAATGGCTCAATGAGAAATGTGTGTTCCCCATTTAAGAAAAGAACAGGCAGAGGTGCAGAGAGCCCAGGAAACTTACCCCAGACATGCGACTGGCAAACAGCCAGGGGGTTGCCACTCTGGGCCTACCTGCCCCCCAGATTTCGGGGAGCTCGGCCTCGGAGTGTGTCTGGAAGAGACAACTCGTGGGAAAGCGAGTCACTGGAAAGCTGGGGGCAACCAGAGTCTACGTGCCTATCGTCTGCAACCACCCAATCTGTTGGTTTCTGAATCTGTGACCCCCAGTCCAGAAAGGAAACTGGAGAAGCCTCCCAAGCCAGCTCCCAGCCCCGGTGAGTAAGGTATTATTTACCAGGAGCACTGCGGTGGGCTGGGCCACACAGATACAAGGAGAAAAGGTCTTCCCTGGCAAAGCAGAGGCTGCAACGCCAACACTATGCAGACTGTGGGCATGTGTGTCCAGCACAGAAGTTAAAGAAAACAGGCGGGGGAAGATGGCAGCAAAAGACCAGTAAGGCCAGGTCCCCACCTACTTGCGAGGCTGGGGCAAGAGAATCCTTTGGGCCCAGGAGTTGGCCAGCCTGGGCAACATGAGACCCATTTAAAACAACAACAACAACAACAAAATCCACCACTCTAATATACAAAGAGCCAATACCTACAAGCTGGGCACAGTGGCTCACATCTGTCATGCCACACTGAGGCAGGAAGATCACTAGTTCAAGGCCAGCATGGGCAATGTAATGAGACTTTGTCTCCGAATAAAAAATTAAAAGGAGAAGGATGCAGCTTAGCACACCTTGGGTTCAATCCCTCGTCCTGGGGGTGAGGAGAAGGCAGCAAATACAAACAGAAATAATTAGATAGATGTGGTGGCACATGTCTGTGATCCCAGCTCTCTGGGAGGCTGAGGCAGGAGGACCGGTGTGAGTTCCAGGCCAGCCTGAACTACATAGTGAGACCCTGTCTCCAAAAAATAAAATAAAATAAGTAAGTAAGTAAGTAAGGGTTAGGGATGTGTGAAGGCCCTGGCTTTAATACTATGAACAGTATGGCCAAAAAAAGAAAAAAAAAGAAGAGAGTGATAACGTGGGAATAAGGGAATGGGAAGAAAAAGGAGGAGGAGAAGGAGAGGGAGAAGGGAGGGAGGGACAAGAGGACAGGAGAGAAGAGGAGAGAGGAAAAAGAAGGGAGAGAAAGAAAGAACGTACAGTTAACACACATTTGCATTCTGAGTGCCTTAAAGCCATTCTTTCCTTTGACCTAATAAGCCTACTCCTGGACTTTACCCAAAATGCAGGAAGGAAGAAAGAGAAACATAAATTATTCCAAAAAATTTCAAAATAATTTCATTATTCAGAATGAAAACTTATAAATACCCAACTGGGGATTTTTTTTTTAAGTTGTGGTATGGTAGCGTCATTCATTATTTTGAACTCATTTGTCATAAAGTGCAATCTAAGACAATGTTTTAAGAAGGAAAAAAGATTAAGCTCCATATACAGCAGAAAGCAAAACTGCATAAAAATCTGCATGTAAGCATGACTGCATACAGAGGAAAGCTGGCAGAATATAGAACAAAGGAAATAGTTCAGGATGATGACACTGGAGATACTTTTCTTTTTAAACTCCCTTTATAATTGTTATCATCCCTTTTGTCGCTTTTTTTTTTTTTTTTTTTTTGGTCTTTTTGAGACAGGGTCTCGCTATGCAGTTCAGGCTGGCCTTGAGCTCACTTTGTAGCCCAGGCTGGTCTCAAACTCACAAAGATCCTCCTGCCTCAGCCTCCCAAATGCTGGGATTACAGGCGTGTGCCACCACGCCCAGCTTATCATCCCTTTTGGAAGATTTTTAAAAAGTAAAACAAAAATCTCAGGTGCAACATGTATGGCCATCAACAGATGAGCAGATAAAGATGTGGTATATGTATGTAACGGAGCACTATGCGGCCCTAAAGGATAAATTTGAGTCAAAAGAGTTCTGGAGATGGATGCTGGTGATAGTTGCACTTAATGCTATATATTTTTAATCGCTAAGATGGTAAATTTTATGCTCTGTGTATTTTACCACATCTGGGGTACGGGAGAAGAAAGAAATTAGAGGTCTAAAGAAGTTTGTGGGCTTGAGACAGGGACGGGATCCCAGGGGCAGCAAGGGGAGGGACAGGGAGGTGAGGGAGCACAGAGAACTGGCCTTGGTGGGGAAGAAGTGAGGATCCCTCCCAGACTAGAGGTCTGTCCTGGAGGAGAGGCACCCCATCCTCTCAGGAAGACATCCCCGTGCTCCCCGTCTGCCGTGTGTATGGCGACAACTTTGTGGTTGTGGGAAGGAGCCTGCACACCTCACCTGATGAGGAGGAGAAATTGTTTGCATTCTTTTTTTTTTTGTACCGGGAATCAAACTCAGGACCTTGCACTGGCCAGGCAGGTGCTCGTGCCGCTGAGCTATGTCCCTGGCTACTGCTCACATTTGACTGTCGCCAGGCAGGCAGAGAAACCCACCTGGCCACACACGGCTTCGGAAAACCTGGCTCAGTTCTTATTACCAGCCCCGACTTGCAATATTCTTTACACACGGGGGGGTGGGGGTGGAGGGCTGGGGTCACCCGGCCCCTGGCAGCTGGTGGAATTCGGCTTTCCCGGGGTGGCCCGGCCCTCAGGGGCTTTGGGGCCGAGGTGTCTTTGCCTCCTTCCTCAAGACCCATTTGGAAGTAGGCCTGCATTTCCTGAATGCCGTTTTTTTGCACAAATCAGCAAACAGCAAAACCACGGCCTTAAATTAATCAAAAATTTGATTTATTAGACAAGATAAGCTAATCAAGACCAAAAGGTTACGATCAAAACTGTCTGTGCAGCAAACTTGAAAATTTAGAGCAAATGGCTATTTTCTAGGGGGAAATGTAGCAACCACTCCCCAAAGGGAAAATGCCGAACCCCACCAGGGAAAGCTACTAGGAAGATGCCGGTGGGGAGGGCTGGAAGGGAAGGAGTCGAATCAGGCTCAGCAGTGCTGGGTCCTGGGCTGTTTAAACTGCTCGGGTCAAGGGGAAGCAGAAAGACTTCTCTCTACATTCCTTGCTGGGAAACTGGAGACACATGATATCACGAGCCAACAATCACAGCGCAGTGAAAGAAAGCCACACACTGATTTCTTGGAGGGGGGGGGAGTATGCATGTGTGTGTGTGTGTGTGTGTGTGTGTGTGTGTAACAGGTGCTCATTATGTAGCTCAGGCTGGTCTCAAACTCACTATGCTCTGGCCTCAGCCTCTCAAATATACTGGGATTACAGGTATGGGGCACCATGCCTGGCTTAGCTATCAATTTCTTTTATGTCTAAGCCAGTGCAAAGCTGGGCATGATGGCACACACCTGTAATCTCAGCACTTCCGAGGCTGAGGCAGGAGGACCGCTGTGAGTTCAAGGCCAGCCTGCATTACACAGCAAGACCCTGTCTCAAAAACAAAACAACACAAAATAAAAAACGTTAAGCCAGTGCAAAAAAATTAAAATATTAGCAAATGAAACCTACTTGAAGGGACTAGGAATATAGCTCAGTGATAGGTGGCTTACTTAACATGCATGAGGTACTAGGTTCAATCCCTGGTACCAAAAACAAAACAAAATGCCCACAAAGAATGCCCTCTACCACCATTATTATTTTGGAGGTCCTACCTGATGAAAGTAGGCAAGAAAAAGACATTTAAGGAGAAAGGAGGAGGTGGACCTATTATGTTTACTCTGGAAAAATCTAAGAAAAGCAACTGAAAAATGTGGCAGACAGTGAAATTTCATTAAGGGGTTAAGTACAAAAATAAGATACCAAAGCAAACAGATTTCCTATGTACAAAGAGAAGTTAGAAAAGTCAGCAGAAGAAAATATCTCACTTCAATAGTACACCCTAGGAATGAAATTCTCTGAAATAAAGGCACTAAAACATGTACAATCTTCATGAAGAAATCTTTTTAAGGCTGTTAAGAAAAAACCCAAACATTTCAAATGCAAAAAAAAAAAAAAAAAAACCAAGCAAAAACCATACTATATGTTCTTATCTAGAGGGGTTCAACATTAAAGAGACAAACTAAACCAGGTGTGGTGGTAAATGTCTGTAATCCCAGATACTTAGGAAGCTGAGGCAGGAAGATCACATATTCGAGGCCAGCCTGGAAAATTTAGTGAGACCTTCATTTCAAAAAGGATGGGGAGGGCTGGGACTGGTGGCGCACGCCTGTAATCCCAGCACTTGGGAGGCTGAGGCAGGAGGATTGCTGCAAGTTCAAGACCAGCCTGGGCTACAAAGTGAGCTCAAGGC